TTAGACATCTCCATGCGATTTTGCATTGCTGATATTTTTTCTTTCATTTCTTTTTGACTTAACAACAGTTGTTTTTGTTGTTCAAATGTTAGAGGAGACATTGTAGTGGTCTCAATCAAATCAGACGCACTTTCAGACAGTTCGAATGCTAAAATTCCACGATCCATTAACTCCGTCTTTATCAACAATTTAACATTATCTTTGACACGTTTATCTTGACTTGACAAATTAATCTCGTAGCGATCGGCAAGTTCTATCAACTGATCTTTAGTTAAATCATTTAACAAATCCTCTGATGGAGCACTAACAAATGTTTCAACTTTCGAAGCCATTGAAACAACAAATGTAAGGCAGACTACCAAATATTCCCAACAATATTTGAGGAGAAATAAGACTAGAACATACAGTTCCCTCTAACTGAAATTTAAAGCTAACTAAACTCAACCCTAGTCTTCATACAGTTACTTGCGGCGGGTTCTTATACACTGTAAATCAGCGTTTGCAACAGCGACCAATTGACAAATCACCGCTGCAAAACACGGACGTGTACCCGAGACAACTGCTCCAGCCGCGTTCACCATACAAAAATAACAAACTAAAACAAAAAATATTTTGAAGCATCCAAAGGACACCTCACTAAACCTGCACAGAGAAAAGCTTATTCCAAAACAAATCTCTCCACAAATACACAAAAAAGTCCAGACTTACCCAAATTCATGGCCGTGCTCCCATCAAACAAAAAGAAACCAAACCATCTGATATAATCCTCCACAAACAATGGCAACAAAACGAATATTAATCCAAAAAATATATATATACTTAACGAATTAATCATTAGATAAACGAAATTCATTAATTCAACAAAGTTATTACCTAATTAAACTTACGGACGAGCCCCCATATTTGTCACGACCCGGCTCAAAGGCGATGACAAAATTAAAGGGAGGACATACACCAGATGGTTTGGTACCAAAAGTATTTATTTAAACATTAAAGAATAATAAAGAGCTCACTTTAGGTAAGCCAAAATCAAAGATTAACCAAAGCTAAAAGAAACAAAACAAAACAAACAGGAGCAAAAGCACGGCTTTATCACAAGCCAACACTGCTGGCTTTTATAGAGGAGAACTCAGGTGTTCCCAATTGAGCAGATGAGTCTCTGTCCTTCCCACTTTCGGCCGACCAGTGGGTTGGTCAAAGAGACTTGTCACACTACACACACATGATCCAATCATTACATACACACACATGATACAATCGTTACATATACACACAGAGGATACAATCCATACATATACACACATGAAACATTGTTTACATGATACATTCTATACCTATACACACATGATACAATCATTACATATACACACATTCTATACCTATACACACACAATACAATCATTACATATACACACATGATACATTCTATATCTATACACAGACAATACATTCATTACATATACACACACATGATACAATCATTACATATACACACACATGATACAATCATTACATATACACACACGTGATGCAATCATTACATATACACACATGATACATATACATTCCTGTCAGAAGCTGGGATAGAACCTGGGTCTCTGGTGTGAGAGGCGAATGACACAACCACTGAGCTACTGAAAGTTGATGATGTCATGAAACATTCTATACATATACATACACGCATATAGCATATACACACATGAAACAATTACATAAGCACACATGATACATTCTATACCTACACACACATGATACAATCAATACATATACACACATGATATAATCAATACATATGCACACATGATGCAAAAATTACATATACACACATGATACATAGACATTCCTGTCAGAGGCTGGGATAGAACCTGGGTCTCTGGTGCGAGAGGCGAACGACGCAACCACTGAGCTACTGGAAGTTGATGAATACATACTACATTCTATACAAATACACACATGACACAATCATTACATATACACACATGATGCAATCATTACATATACACACATGATGCAATCATTACATATACACACATGATGCAATCATTACATATACACACATGATGCAGTCATTACATACAAACAATCATTACATATAAACACGATACAATCATTATGTATACACACATATGATACAATCATTACATATACATACACATGATACATGATATCACACATGATACAATCAATACATATGCACACATGATCCAAAATTTACATTTACACACATGATACATATATATTCCTGTCAGAGGCTGGGATAGAACCTGGGTCTCTGGTGTGAGAAGCAAACGATGCAACCACTGAGCTACTGGAAGTTGATGAATATATGATACATTCTATACAAATACACACATGATACATTCTATACTTACACACACATGATACAATCATTACATATACACACACATGATAAAATCATTACATATACACACACATGATACATTTTATACACACAGGATACAATCCATACATATACACACATGAAACAATGTTTACATGATACATTCTATACCCATACACACATGATACAATCATTACATATACATACACATAATACAATCATTACATATACACACACGATACAATCATTACATATACACACATGATACATTTTATACTTATACACACATGATACAATCATTACATATACACACATGATACAATCAATACATATGCACACATGATCCAAAATTTACATTTACACACATGATACATATATATTCCTGTCAGAGGCTGGGATAGAACCTGGGTCTCTGGTGTGAGAGGCGAATGACGCAACCACTGAGCTACTGGAAGTTGATAAATACATGATACAATCATTACATATACACACACACAATACAATCATTACATATACACACATGATACATTCTATACTTATACACACATGATACAATCATTACATATACACACATGATACAATTCATACATTCTATACTTGAACACATATGAGAAATTCCATACATATACAGACATGAAACAATGCCACATGACACATTCTATATCTACACACACATGATACATATACATTCCTGTCAGAGGCTGGGATAGAACCTGGGTCTCTGGTGTGAGAGGCGAACGACGCAACCTCTGAGCTACTGGAAGTTCATGAATACGTGATACATTCTGTACATATACACACGATACAATCATTACATATACACACACACATGATACAATCATTACATATACACACATGATACATTCTATACCTATACACACATGATGCAATCATTACATAAACACTACATACATATACACACATGATACATTCTATACCTATACACACGATACAATCATTACATATACACACATGATACATTCTATACCTAAACACACATGATAAAATCATGACATATATACACGCACATGATACATTCTATACCTATACACACATGATACGATCATTACATATTCACACGATACAATCATTACACATACACACACGATACGATCACTACATATACACACATGATACATTTTATACACACAGGATACAATCCATACATATACACATATGAAACAATGCTTACATGATACATTCTATACACACACAATACAGTCATTACATATACACACACGATACATATATATGCCTGTCAGAGGCTGGGATAGAACCTGGGTCTCTGGTGTGAGAGGCAAACGATGCAATCACTGAGCTACTGGAAGTTGATGAATACATAATACATTCTATACATATACACACATGATACAGTCATTACATATACACGCACATGATACAATCATTACATATACACACATGATACATTGTATACCTATACACACATGATACAGTCATTACATATAGACACACAGGATACAATCCATACATATACACACATGAAACAATGCTTACATGATACATTCTATACCTGCACACACATGATACAATCATTACATATACACACATGATGTAAGATACATATATATACATACATAGAAGATACATATATATACACACATGATAAAATAATTACATATGCACACATGACACAATAATTACATATACACTACATACATACATGATACATGTACATTCCTGTCAGAGGCTGGGATAGAATCTGGGTCTCTGGTGTGAGAGGCGAACAACGCAACCACTAAGCTACAGGTACAGCTATACATATGCACACTTGATACATTCATGTGCACACAATAATTATGCTCAAATGGTAAACATACATTCCTGTCAGGGATAGATCATGGGTCTCTGGTGTGAGAGGTGAGCGACGTAACCATTGAGGTATTGTAAGTTGATGAACACATGATACATTCTATAAACACATGATACATTCTATTCATATACACACACAATACATTCTATACACATATGATGTGTTCTATACACATATACACACCATACATACAAACACACACACGTTGCACTCCAATTTTAATTGAATGAACATTTTTTAGTTTCATGCCTTACCCAGAATATACAAATACATATAAACACATTTAGATCATTTACTTTAATCTTTACTATTGAAATGTGAAGAGACCTTCAACCAGCACATCAAAAAAAAAAAAAAGTTTCTGAATCTTTATGTTATGAACACACTGCAAATGCAATGTCAATATTCTTAAAAAAAATCCAAAAGTTAAAATAAGATAAAAGTATTCTCTGTTTTTGGAAGAGCTCACAATATCAGTATCATGTGTGCTTGTTATAACAATATATTGAATTCAATATCTGCGTTTGCTGTAAAAAATGCAGGGTTCCACACAACTCCATGTTGTCGCAACACAAATCGATTAAGTTAACTTACTTGTTTTTACAAATGTGAAGTGGATTGAACATAAAACAATTAAATTGTCCCCTAAAAACTCAAGAATTGTTTAGATTCAGTTCATTTTAAGAAGTCAGAGTGTATGTCTACTTGTGTCATATCCTCATTTGCTGTCAAATGTTGTTATCATGAAATAGGATCAATGCATTTAAATCAAGGTTCATTTATCAAGTTTCCTGGTTTTTATCAATTTATGTTTTGTGTTCTGTACAGGTTCCTGATATTGTCATTTTCAGCTCTCAAAACCAGGAGGATGAAGACTTTTCTAACCTTTACTCCAATAGCGCAAAGAAGACAGTCCGCCAGGTCACCACAGTCTGACCTCTGGGTCAAACACACGTTAGCCACTTACTGCAAGAATAGTGGATTACATGCCGTTTTTTAGGCCAGTGTTTTGCCACAAAGTCGTCACCTTGATATTATAAGTTTCTATCTGCGTTCTGAATGATTTTGAGATGTCAAGTTTAAAGTTTTTGCATTCCATGTAGCAAACAGTATGTGTGTAACATTTGTTTTTAAAGCAAAAATCCTTAAATGTAAACAACTTATAAAAAACATTCCATAATATAAATAAGTTTTCATTTAATAAGAATATGTCAATAACTCAATTTTGACAAAAAATGTCAGATAGAACCTATTAATTGTAAGGTGATGTGAGTCTTGCCATTATTGGTACGCTAATAATAATGTGCTGAAGACCAGGATGTAATGGCTCGAGTGTCAAGAAGGTGGGGACATATCACAAAATATGAGCCCTGAATCAGTCTTATTTTGTAGTTATTTTGATTTACTAATATACTGTTTTATATATGTTGAATCAGATTTTATTTATATATTTTCTACTTTAGTGCTTTAGTGTTGATTTTAGTAGTGATATTTTTAATAATTTTATTAGTTTTTAATTTGTGTTTTGTTGCTTTTAAATACTTTTTATTATTATTATTATTATTATATATTCTTTGTTATAAACTATTTGTTTTTATTTTGTTTGAGTTAACACATTTGTGCCCAATTTTTAAAAAATTGTTTCATGCATACACTGTAATAAATTCCCAGAATTTTACATGTTACTGTAATTTTTCACTGTAAATTACATTGGTGTCACCATACAGGATTTAACTGTTAAATTTCACCTATTCAGAATTTTATTGTAAAATTAAGGCAGGCATCATGATTACAGCAAATTACTGTAAAAATGGCTATATCTTTTGCATGTTAGTTATAGGAATTCAAACACTTTATATTTTATTCAAAATAGAAATTAATACACATTAACGTTTATGATGGTACAGGCACTTTTTTGATATTTAGAAATATTTACAGAATTATTGTTATTATGACGTACATCACGGTAATTTACTCTGAATTTACATACAGTACCTTACTGTGAAAGTAATGCAATTATTAGCCAGTAATTTACTGTAAATTTAAGATCAATTTTTTTTTTTGTATATCCTTGTTAATATTGTCATATATGAACATGCTTTACAATTATTTTCTCCAGTTTTTCTTTTTTTTTTTCAAGAAAATTACATTTGAACATATGGCAACTAGAGTTGCCAATGGGCAAATATTTTGTAAGCACTGTTCAATGTAAAATTTGAATATGAGGAGAACATTTGGCATCCTAACTTTAATCAACTGATTTCAAAAGATCAATTCATATTCGTAAACACATTTTTATGTTTAAACTTTGAAAACCATTTGATATGAACCCCCCAAAATTATCTATCATATGGTTTCATGAATGTAAAACACAAAGAATTAATCCATTTGTCTTACAGTGATGAAACACATACTAGTTTCCCCAACATACTATTGTGTGTCAAAAAGATAAATAAAAAAGTTAATAATTATAATTATTTCAGTATTTGTAATAATTGTCTTTAATATATATATATATATATATATATATATATATATATATATATATATATATATATATATATATATATATATATATATATATATATATATATATATATATATATATATAT